GTCCCCAGTTGTTTGAGGGGGAGAGGCAAGGAGGGCATTTGTAGGGGGGAAGCAAGAGGACCCTGGCCATGCTAGGGACACAGAATTACTTGAGATTCCAGGAGGGGCTTTAGAAAATGTAGTTCAAAACCCTCCCTGCTTTTTACCAAAGCAGAGAGGCCCAGGGATGTCTGAGCTCACTCGGGCCAATGGGCACAGGCCTAGTCAACCTTCCAAGCTGCTCTCCAGAGCAGGTTGACTGTTGAAAAGACCTGGCCTCTGGCTTGGTGGACTGGGGAAGTCAGTCACGATGCTGTGATGCAACAGGGCCTCCACCCGCAACCCCCATTCACTGTTTCCTGCTGCGGAGAAGTCATGGGGGGTGGGCAGGGAGTCCTGATGGGAGGAGGCAAGTGTCTGGGTGGGGCTAGACCTGGCTGAGGCCTTTGGCCTTCCCTGTGGGGCCTTGGAGCAAACAATGGTCCAAGGCCCCTAGGAGCTGATGTGGCACAGCCTCAATGAACAGGATGAGGTGGGGTCCTTGCCTCACTCAGTCTCTGGCTTTGCTTTAACTAGAGTGATAAAATTCTAGCATCCTGTTGTGTGTCTCACCACCCCCATCCCCAGTGCCCTGTGCCTTGGGGAGGAGCCAGTGGTGCTAAAATTAGGAGAAGCTAAAAGGACTCCCTGGCCTCCTGAGAAAGGGAGAAGAGGCTTTGAGGTCAGAATCAGCTCATGTAGGTCTTGGGCTCAGACCCACCTGTTCCCAGTCCATGGGCTGGGCACTGGCACTTGTCGTCCGTCCCCCCCCACCCCCCAAGGAGTGTACTGCTGGCATCTGGGGCTGGCATGGCCGACTGCGTGTTTGTGCTGGGAGCCCAGACCCGGATGGACTTAACCCTGAATGCAGAGTGCAGCTGGGCAGAGGCCTTTAGCACCTGGACCTGCACACCTGGGACCCTGCAGTCTTGTCTGGCAGTTTGCGTCTGCTTTGGGTGCATGTTCTGTCGTGACTTAACCCTTGGGTCTCGGTTTGCTCATTTGTAATGCACAAAGAAGAATTGAGCTAACCAGATCTACTTGTAGGAAATATGAGTGGAGGGGGCCAGAGTCCAAGACCTGTTGGCTGAACATGGAGAATGAATGGGAACCCCAAGAAAGTGCAGCTGTTAAGGGCAGGAGACCCTCCACCTGGCCTGCTCCATGGTGCCTAACACCCTGGGGGCATCTGAGGGTGGACTGTGGAGGAAGCCAGCTGGCTCCCCTAGCTAGGAAAGGAGCTGGGCAGTGGTGTCCTGGGCTGCTCCTTGTCCTTTCGCGTCGACACCTTAGCTTTGAGTTGGAATTAACCATTGACATCTCATGCCCCTTGGTGCTGTTTCCAAGACCTGAGCAACACCCTTGGATTTTGCTCTCCCTTGTTCTTCCTTGGCTCTGGGGGAGACGGGTGGTCTGTTGAAGTTGCCTGTGGGCTGGAGGCACTGGACCCTGCAGGCAGCCCTCACCCACACCTTTTTTTTTTCTCCCCACAGATGTGTACTCCCAGCAACACCCCTGCCACACCACCTAACTTCCCTGATGCGCTAGCCATGTTCTCCAAGCTTCGAGCCTCTGAGGGCCTGCAGAACAGCAACAGCCCCATGACAGCTGTGGCTTGCTCCCCTCCTGCAAACTTCAGCCCCTTCTGGGCCGCATCCCCACCCAGCCACCAGACGCCCTGGATCCCGCCCTCTTCCCCCAACTCCTTCCATCGTCTCCACTGCCCACAGCCCACGTGGCCCCCTGGAGCGTCCCAGGGGGGCGCACAGCAGAAAGCCGTGACAGCAATGGATGGCCAGAGATGAGACTGGATGGCACTGGGCTGGAGCAGGGGGCAGTCCAGGGTTGTGGGGGACACAGAGGAGGGCTGGGGAGGGGGGACACAAGAGGGCGGGGGATTTCTTGAAGATCGCACTGGAAGATTTTATAAGAATTTTTGTGGGGTGGGTGGGACAGTAACCATCCTGAGCCACTTGGGTTCTTCAGGAGTTGCTCTTTGGGAAAGGTTTTTTCCTCTTTTTAATATATAACTATAATATATATGAATATAAATTTAATGTATGTGAGAGTGGGGCCGGCACACTGGGGTGCTGGGGTCAGGAGGGAAGGGCCTCATATCCTCTGCCCATTTGGGGGAGAGCAAAGGGGTGCTCATAGATGAAGCGAGCTTGCAGCCAGGTGACCTGCTGCCTTCTTTAGAAGCCACATCGGCCATTAGGAAGCCCCGCCCCCACCTCCAAGGGAGCTCCCAGAAGGGTCCTGTTGGAATCCTGGACTTTCCTACCCATCACTGGTAGATGGAGTTTTCGTTTCTGCTGGTGGTGGCCTCTCGGTGGCCCTAGAACTCATCACCCTGTCCCCAGCTGGGTGTGCAAAGCCCACAGGACTGGAGTTGGCTGACCTCTGAGTGCATGCTTGGCTGTCCTGTCCCTTACTGTCCTGGCTGTCCCACAGGTTCCCCAGTGTCCAGCGTCAGAGGACGACGGCTCGGGAGAGCCTGCCTTTGGATTCCTAAATTAAAATCACATTTCACCAGGGTGCAATTTTAATTTAAAAACTTAAAGACTTTTCTAACTTCCCTGGTTTGTGGCGCTCTTGTTTGCTGTGGTGGGAAGGGTCAGTGGGTGGCTGGGTGGCAGCGGCATGGTCCGTTGATACATGGTTTGAGGTGTTGGGGGGTACAGGCAGGGGCAGTACCCTCCCTCTTTCCCCAGCCTAGAAGCCATTTGGGCCATGGGCTGTGTGGTTTCCCAATGGCTGTTGGCTTCGGACCTACCTCGATGCCTCCCCTGCTGAGCAGATTTCTTGGGGCCTGTGGAACATGCAGCCATGACCCAAATGTGTCAACCAAGGCTGACCCAGTGCCACAGACTGGATTCCTGAAGGGGCTGGGCTGGTGGCGGCTCCATACCTCTTCTCAGCCTCCAGCAGGGTGTTAGGTGAGGTGGAGCCTGCTGGCCTGGCTGTCAGGTGACCTGTGGCACAGCAGGGCTTGCTCCTGGAGCCCTTCCTGACCCTGCTCTGGGGGATCTAAGGGCTTCCTGCCGCTCACTTCCACAGGTCAAGGGCTAGGATGCAGAGCTGAGGCGGGAGGATAGGGCCGAAAGTGAAGTGAAAGTTCAGCCCCCCCCCCACAGAGCAGGGCCCCACCCTCCTGCGGCCATCTTTAGACCCCCACACACACCCTGGTGGAGCAGGGCAATGGGCCGAGCTTCTCTGTCCCATGTGACACATGCTGGACTTGGAGGCTTGGGTTTAGCCTTTCAGTTTTGTTTCCTGGTTGGAACCCCCTGGGCCTCCTCCCAGACCCGCCCCTGCCCACCTGTGCTTTCCCAGGCCGGAAGGGGAAATCCCTGACTGGCAGGCGTGTGGGCGGCCAGGCAGGGGCTGCTGGGACATGGGCCAGGGTCCATTCAGATGGGCCAATGTCGGGAAAGGGTGGGGCAGCCATACCCAGGTATGGAATGGTGGGGGCTGACCCTTCTAGTTTAGGGAACGCGTCCCTCGGTGGCTGTAGGGCAAGGCCTGGGCAAGGTTGTGCCTCCCTGTGAGGCTTGTGAAGTTGCCTTCCAGACCAGGGAAACTGAGCCGACCTGGCATTTCACTGCCAGAGAGGGACCAGTGAGAGAAACCGGAGCCCGGGGGGGTGGGGCTGGCCCTGGCTCTGCCTCTTGCTGCAGAGGGAAGCTCACCCATGTTGGGGTGCCCACAGGGGACCCGTTGGCCAAGCCACTCCCCCTAAGCGTGATCGCATAAAGATTGAGAGAGGGGAGGGGAACGCTGGGCTCCCAGGGCACACTGCACCTCATGACACCCCCACAAGCCCGACAGTACCAGCAGTGAGAAACCCATTTCTTGGCCGTTTCCTACCACGCTTTTCCTGTGTGACTTTTCTCACCACCCCAACCCCCAACCCTTCGCACACCTCAAAGTGAACATCTTGCCCCAGATGCTTTCCCGAGTGATGGAAACTGCTGTGGGGGTGCCCCATCTTCTACTCCGCACACCTCATGCTGGGGTAGAAATAGAAAACTGCTTTATTTTGAGTCAGGTTTTTGCCATGTAGCCCAGGCTAACCCTGAGCTCTGGGTCCTCTCCTAGGAGTACTGGGATTACAGGGGTGCACCACCACACTCCGCCAGAAACTGTCTTGACGATTCAGGGTTTCTTGGATTCAAGTTGGGTCAGTCTTTTTTTTTTTTTTTTTTTTGTGGACCCCTGGAATCTGTCTGGAGGCCCAGCTCAAGACTGAGCTGGGTGGCAGTGGTGCTGGGAGCTCCGACCTGCCCAGACCCTGAGCCTGAAGGAGCAGTGACCACAGGTGGGGGTGAGCACACCGGGCTGAGTGGCCATCGGGAGCAGTTTGAGTCCTGTCCCCCCCCTACCCCCCTCCCGCACTCGCTATCCAGGCAGCCAAGCACTCAGCCCCTCAACCAAGGCTGGCTTTCAAGCTACCATCTGCAGCAACTCATCCAAGAAGACTGCAGAACATGGCTGGTGGAAACCTGCCCACGAGTATGGGTTTGTTCTTCTGGCTGGAAGCTGTGTGCGGAGCCAGGAGCTACGCTGAGCCAGCAGCCAGGGAGCAGGTGGTAGCTACACCTCACCTCTAAGTAGAACCTGGGTACAGACACCGTGGGTCCCGGCCTACTCAGAATTCCCGGGCCGGTCCTACAGACTAGAAGATAGTTAGCGTTGTCAGAGAGCACTGGTACCGGGAACAGGCCCAGCCTGTCCCCAGGCTCCCAGAACCAGGTCTGGAGTCTCGCCCGCTGCATTCCTCCCTCCCTCCCTGAGCTCCCGCGTCCTCAGAGCAGCTCAGCGGGGCTTGAGTTCCAGCTCCCCAACCGTAAACCGGACCTGCTTCAGATGTGGAGGAGACCCTAAATCCCAGGACTGCTTGGCCAATAGCAGGTGCCCCGCTTCTGCTCACTCCGTCTTCTTGAAGCAGGACAGCAGAGACCTCCCTTGGTATCCAAACGCCTTATTTAAAACTTTTATTTATAGCTCTGTCTAGTGAGCAGTGGTGGACCTCGGGCCCCGGGTAGGCTCCTCCATCCCCTGCCCAGGGTGCCCACCCATGTGCATGTTCAGCCCATCTGGGCTGCCCCGCAGACTTGCCATCTCTGTGGGGGTGGATGTGTGGGCCACATTCGGCTGGGTGAGGCGCCCCTCAGAGGAAAGAGGTCTGTCTTTCTTTCGCCCTGAAGAAATTGCAAGACAGGAGGGTTGAGCTTGCTCTGCCCGTTCCCCCATGCCCACCAGGGTCCACTCAGGCTTGCCTAAGGCTTGAGCAAGTGGTAAACCGCTTTAGCCAGGCTGCTGGGCCGGGCCTCACCAGCACCCTGGCTGTTCCTGAGCAAATGCTTTAAGGCCCTTCCATGATCCTCGTATAGGAGGGAGCATTTAGTAATAACCCCCTCTGCGGGATCCCAGAAAGAACCTGCCTCTTCGATGACACCTCCTGTTCTCTTAGTGTGGGCAACACTCACACAGGACCAGGAATTTTCCCAACTTCCATATGGTAAGTATTTCTAAGTAGAAAGTGGCATGCCTGAGATAAAGAAGCCAAGGACCCAGGAGCAAGTCACCGAAACATGCTGTTGTGGCCCATTCCCATTGGTCACCAGTGCTGGCCCTTGAATCCCAGCTTGGCCACTTCCTGTTCCACCTCTCAGTGCTCCATTTCCCCAGTTGTTCCTGGGGCCAGTGTTGGTTTCTACCTTTTAGTGTGGGGTGTGAATTAAAACTGGTTCATAGACCACCTAAACAGCCTGGCCAGCGAGAAGCCCTTAGTGATGGTGGTACGGCACCATGGCCCCCATGCCTGCCTTACTGTAACCCCTCCCATCTCTGCCCATCTCTGCTGCAGGCTCTCATGAAGGTAGGGATGGAAGTATGTTACAGAGCTCAGAGGTCTTTTGTTTGTTTGTTTTTTCAAGACAGAGTTTCTCTGTGGAGTTTTGGTGCCTGTCCTGGAGCTCCCTCTGTAGACCAGGCCAGGCTGGCCTTGAACTCACAGAGATCCTCCTGGCTTTGTCTTCCCTAGTGCTGGGATTAAAGCGTGCACCACCACCGCCTAGGCAGAGTTCAGAGGTCTTAACTGGGGTTCAGAGGTTGTGTATGAGTGTCGAGATCCTTGGGTCTCCTGCAAGCATTCACAAAGCACTGTGTGCAGACTGCTAGCAGGCCTCCCTGCCTCTTAGGGCTGCTGATGCTGCACACATACACACCCATGTCAGGTGAGGGGAGAGATTGACTTAGTCACCTGGTAGTGTGGGGCCTAGCCTCACATTCTAGCAAGGACCACAGGCCTTCTGTGGTAGAACCCAGAGGCCCCTAGCCCCTTGGCCTTCTATCTGGTCTAGCTTTTCAGGGGAGACCAGAAACTCTAGGGGCTTTCCAGAGTAGAGGCTACCTACAGGCTAGGGTCAGAGTGGCGGGGGTGAAATGGGGGGGTAGGTGGAAGGGAGTGGTCATATCCTAGGACCACAGCCTGGCTCTTAGTGCATTTGTGTGTTTGAGCAGGGAACACCTTGGGCCTGGAGCCAGAGGGCTGTGTGCACCTCTGTCCCTGTGTCCTCCTGTGTGGGGTAGGACAGCAACAGCGTTCACCTCAGAGACCTGGCGCATACCAAACATTCCGCAACTGGGTTTTCGCAATTCTCCCTCCCATCTCATCTCTTAGCTCCCTGGCCCTTGTTGTCTCCAGCCTGGGCCGGAAGAGAGGGCTGTCCGGAAGGAAGGAAAGCCTTGGGGATAGCGTCCAGGCTGCCAGAAGGAAGCTACCTGAATTGCTGTCAGCCGTCTGAGCACTCTGAGGTCGAGAGGGCGGCAGGCCGCTGTGGCCCAGGGATGGCTGTCTGCTGTGCATGTGGGGCCGGGCATGCTGGGCCTGCTGGAGTTGCTGGAGCTGCTGCAGCTGCTGGAACTGTTGTAACTGCTGCAGCTGCTGCAGCTGCTTCGACTTGTGCTTTGCCACTCCTGGGGCCGAGAAGGGAGGGAGGGCCAGCACCCAGGGGTCAGCGCCACGTGAGCTGTGGGAGCCCGTGTCCGTGAGGAGCCAGCCGGGGTGGGATCCTTGACAGGCTCCACTTGTGGCGGCTACACCCCTTAGAAACTCTTGGTTCATCACACATCTGCCTGCCCGTCCGTCAGTTCATCCATGCACCCACCCACCCAGGTTCTCTGGGGACTTGTACACATCAGCCTTGTGTAGGGACTGAGTGAGTTCTGGCCCAGGCTGGTGGTTCTGGAAGGAGATGACCGGGAAGGCCCAAGGCATGATGGGAAAGGATCAGCCATATGCTTCTGGTATGAACTGGAAGCGGGCCTTCAGGAGCCTTGGTGTTGGAATAAGAGCCCTTTGCTGAGTTTTGAAAAGTCAGTTAGGGCTTGGCCGCCCTGATCCAGGGAACTGAGGTGGAGGCAGGAGAGCTCCGCTGTGGTGGGTGAGGGGGAGGGCCAGCAAGAAAGGACAGAGCCTCTGCGGAGCGATTGGCTGGGTCTGGCTGCTGCTCTCCACCAGAAAGCAGCCGCCTGGCTTCGGTGAGGAGAAAGAAAAGTGCTCAGGGCCCAGGGGCCCGAGACATGCCTGTACCCAGAGAGACAAATGTCCTTTGGAACCCAAGCAAGAACCCCGAAGAAGCTCAAGGCGTTCCGGCCGCTCACCATCTTTCCCCAGGATGCCTGGCAACCTTGTATCCATTCGTCCCTTGTAGATGTGTCCATCAAGGCCCAAGATGTCGACCTCATCGTGCTATAGAGGGATACACGTGTCCATTATCATTGCAACATCCTGAGTTTCCTCCCGGGAGGCTTAGGGTGCAGAGGCTGTCAGCCGGCAGTGCTCAGAACCCTCCCTGGGAACTGAGGCCTGGGCCACATGCCTGGGATCCTGGCTCTGGGGAGACTGAGGCAGCAGGCTTCCCACCGACCTCAAGGCCAGGCTGGGAGATAAAGCTAGTACCAGCCCAGCCAGGACTATAAAAAGCAAGGCCCCTGCGTGGGAGTCTGGGCTGAGTGCAAGATGAGGTAGGGGCGAGTGGTGTGCGGAGGCCCGTGGTGGAAGGCAATAGTGTACTGTCTGGGAGAGATGGGTGGGAGGATGGCAGTCCACTCCGCAGAGCTTGGGGCTTGACCTGAGCAAGAACTGTACATCCTAGCTACTTTGGGAGGCTGAGGCAGAAGGATCCTGAGTTCAAGGCCTGCCTGAGGACTTGGTAAGACCGTGTCTCAAAAATATAAGGTGTGTAACAGAGGTCGGGGAGATAGCTCCCTGGTAAAGGGCTTGCCTAGCGATCTCTAGGACGGCAAGGAAGGGAAGGAGGGTAGAGGGGGGGTCAAGGAAGAGGGTCTAGTGATGGGCTTCGGGTGTTCTTCCAGAAGGGGCATGGCGGGGCTAGCCTCCCCATGGCCCCCATCAGACCTTCATGGCAATCTGGATCTCCTCCAGCGGGGACAGGTGCTGCGGGCGGTTTCGGCGGTAAGGGTAGGTGAGGGTGTGGCTGCCGCCACAGCGGCGGGGCACAGTTGAGTAGGTGTAGTCTGCCGTGTCTACTCCCCTGGGATGCAGACACAGGGGGTCACCAGGAGCGTTATGTGGGACAGGCAGGTGAGTCTGAGGCCACACACCACGCATGTGCACCGCTCTCACACACTCTCATACACACCCACCCATCCCTGCCCTCCATCCCCATGCTTGGTCGTCAGGGACCCGTGTGTCCCTGGACTCTCGTCCTCCTACCGTTTGTAGCACGGGTGGCTGAGGCACTGGGCATGCAGCAGCTCTCGGATCATCTGGCTGCTGGCCTTCACCGAGCCTCCAAAGTGGATCTGCACCTTCTCGATGTCCATCAGCATCTTGGAGTGCATGCTGCGCAGGCGCCCCACACTCCTCTCCATCTGCGACAGATCGCCTCGGGCGAAGCTGCCGCCCAGCTTCAGGCTGCGAGACGAGGGCAGAGGGGAGGAGGTTGACCGGGGGGCCAGACCAAGCTCTGGAGGAGGCGCTTTTCTCCTGGACCTTGTGTTCACACTTCCTTTGGCCCCAGAACCCTGTTCTGCAGGACCCTGTGTGAACCGAGCTAGAGGCGCATGCCACGGGCCCTTGACTGAGGGCTGAGGGCCGCCAGGCATCTCAGCAACTCAAGAGACCTGTGAAGGACCAGCCTTGTTGGGGAAGCTTTTCCTTAGACTCCAAAGCCCTCTTCCCCCCTACAAAACAAATACTTAAAATGTAACAAAAAATGTAAACACAAAACAAAAAAGAAATCTAGTGGCCCCCTCCTGATCCTCGGCAGAGGCCCTCAGTAGTACTCCCAGGTGCCCTCTGGAGCCATCTTGGTCCCCCTCCCAGCCCACCCCTGCCCTGCCCAGGATCCCACAGCCCCATACTTGCGGCTCTGCTGCCGGACCTGTTCTAGCTCGAACACAGTATAAGGCCGGACAGAGCGGTGCCCCGGCATGCTGGGAACTATAGGGGTCATAGAGATGACTCTAGGCAGGGACAGAGGAAGGAGAGGGGAGGGTGTGAAAAATCCCACCTCTCGGCAACACCAGCCACTGAGGGGCGTTCCTAACTGCTCAGTGTGCGCCCCTAGAAAGGCCCAGAGACCCGGGACAAGAGGTAAGATGAGTGGGCACAGGGAGACACACCCCCGGCCTTCTCTCTACCCGCCCCCCCCCCAGATGCTGTGGGGGAGGTGTGGGCACTCACTGTCCAGTCACAGCTGTCTCCAAGGGACGGTCACAGGACAGGCAGTGGAAATGAGCCAAGAGCTGCCTGTCAGGAACAGGATATAGCACAGCAGGTGAGATCCAGAGCGTTAGGCCCTCTTGTGGGTCTGCTGGCAGCTCAGCCCACGAGGTGGCAGATCCTGCCCTACTTCCTGGGCATTCATTCACCTGGTCCTAACCATCCCTTCCAAGCACACAGCCTGCTGGATCAGCCTTCCAACTCAGTACCTTGTGTGTGAGCCTCTGGTGCCCCCTGGTGGACCGTGAGTGGAATTTCCCTAGCCAAGTTCCCAAGGGGCGTCTTGGTCATCTTTATGGCCCCAGTAATGCAATATAGCACAATCCAACCCCAAGAGCCTTGCACCCCCCTACGGCCTTTCTCCACCATTAGCTGAAGGATCTGGCCAAGTTTTTAGTGGGTGGGTGTTTCGAGACAGGGTTTCTCTGTGTAGCAGCCCTGACTGTCCTGGAACTCACTCTGTAGACCAGGCTGACCTTGAACTCACAGAGATCCTCCTGCCTCGGCCTCTCGAGTGCTGGGATTAAAGGTGTGCGCCACCAGGCCCTGCCAAGCCAGTCAACTCTAAAAATGCAGCCCTTCCGCCTGGTTGTCAGTTCGGGGCAGAATAGGCCCCCGGGGGCTGCCCAGCCAGCTTGCCACCCCCAAGTCCCCCACTGTCTCCCCGGTCTCACCTCCGCATGGCAGCTGCCTCGTCTGCCTGGTAGAGTGGAGAGCGCTCTTTGAGCTGCTGCCGCAGCGATTTCCAGCGATCCTCCAGCATCTGCTTCACCGGGTCCAGCTCCAGGCGGTCCAGCTGGGAGATGGGCACCGGGTGAGCTTAAGGCAGCAGGTAGGTGGGGGGAGGGATCTAGCTTTGGAGAAAGTGGTGGTGTCTGGCGGCAGGGGCTTGCGTGGAGAGCAGCCTAGCCTGCCCTGCAACCTCCCCCGCCCTCACCTTGCTGTCCATCTCCGCCAGGAGCTTGTCCACAAGTTTCTGCCAGTCCTGCTCCTGGCCACTCATCTTGGCCACCAGTTCCTGCATCATGTGGTTCAGCTGCTCGGTGGTGGCATCAAACTGGATGCGGCTCACTTTGGATGCCAGAGCACTCTTGTCCGCTTTCTGCAGGAGAGAAGAGCATGGGTAGAAGTGTCCCTCCATTCCTCCTGCTGGCTCCATATCCCTCAACCCCCTGCGCTGGCCGGGGAGGAGACAGAGAGGCTCCTGGGGTCTGGTGCTCACTACATCAATCTCCATCTCCAGATGCTCTCGGTCAGCCTTTTCCTTATCCAGTCTCTCTATTCCCTGGTACAGCACCTGGGGACCCACAGAACAGAGACAAGGACGTCAGCAATGCTGAGTGGCAGGCGTGGGCAGGGTTGATGAGCCCCACCCCCACCCCAGGCGCCCTGTGGCTGCTCACTTCAATGTCTTTCTGCTTCTGCCGATGGTCCTCAATGAGGTTGCTGGTAGTGACGTTGAGCTTCTCACAGTCACCCTGAACCTGCAGGATGGCACTCTGCACGTGGCCCAGCAGCTCTTCATCCTGCAGCAGTGAGTGACAGAGAGGCTCTTGGGAGGCTGCTGAGCCATCTCCTAGGCAGTCCCCTTTGGTCCCCATAAGCGGTAGGCTGCCTTTAGAACTGTGACCAAAAGTCAGGTGTGGTAGTGGCGGCCAGACCTCCCAACACTCAGGAAGCTAAGATGGGACTCGAACCGACAAGGACAAAGCTTGGGAGGTGCCCCACACGGAAAGGTATTTGTCGCTGAGCCTGGTGAGCTGACTTCAGTCCCCAGGACCTACATGGTGGACAGAAAGAACTGACTCCTGCAAGTGTGACTTCTGCAAGGATTCCATGATACGGACATGTGTGTGCATGCGTGTGCATACGTGTGCGTGCATGTGTGTGTGTGTGCAATAAACTCATAAATGTTAAAAAAACAAAATCATCACCCAACACACATGCTCACTTCAAAGCCACCTGGCTTTCTCCAGGGGCATTCGCTGACACCTGTGCCCCTCAGCTGGAGGTAGTCTCCAAACCCCACATGCTGATGGACTGGCATCAGTGGCCTTTGGAGTCATCAGAGAGGTGACTGAGGCTCAGATGTGCTATGTTGTGCCATGATCCCTGAGAGGTGAGAGGTGGGCAGCCATCGGAACTATGTCTAAATCCCTGAGTTCAAGAGCAGAGACCAGGCTCTGGTGGTGACTCCCACCCCAGCAAGCAAGCTTTCCCTCCAGGGGAAGTCTAGAAAGCGTTGGAAACACTGGCAATGGAGGGGGAGCTGTGCCCTGCAGCTCTGACGGCGTCCCCGTGTCCCACAGTGGGCACTGTGCCATCCTTGGTCAGCCAGCGCCACCCCACCCGCTGACCCCGCCCTCCCCTTACTCTGCTCTCTTGAAGGCTTTCTTCACTGTGGCCTGTGTCAGGACCAAGGCCTCGTGTGGGATCTGGCTAGAGGGCTCCACCGTGAGGACCTGACCCGAAAGCTCTCGCACTGGCTTCTGCGGGCTCCTGGGAAGGCAGCCCTCTACCGGGGGCCACCTCTAGCCACCCTGTGAGGGAGCTGAGCAGAGACTCGCCTGGCTCTGCAGCTTGGCCTTCTTGGAGGGCCTGGAGGCAGCCAGGCCGCTGACCATATCCTGTAGCTGCTCGTAACGCTGTACCAGCAGACTGACTTGATGGCTCACATCCAGACTGCAGGCTGGACAGGTGGCCTCAGGGTCGATCTGGCCAGGCACCAGGGTGCTCGTCGACTTGTGTGGGGTTATGCTCATGGACAGCAGCGTGGAGGAGGAGCTCAGCATGCTTTCGATGATGGTTCTGAGCTTGTCCAGCTGGATGCAGGACAGACATGAAGGGGGAAGGAAGGGAGGTCAGAACCACATCCAACCACTGGTGGGACACGTTCTACGTCACCCCTGCTATGACACACGACAGCTGCTGCCTCCTCAGCACCTCACAGAGGATACTGCACACAGTAGACAGGTGAGCGCTACCCATCAAAATAGTTTTCCAAATACCTTTTCTGCCAGCGGGCAGCGTTAATGACAGAGAAAGCACATGTGTTTGTGGGGAGTTTCTCCAGCCAGTCTATGGGTCCAGTGTGAGGACACAGCTTCTGTAGCTCAGTCCTAAAAGGATGGTCTCCCGGGGCTCTCTGATGATGCAATGCTCTTTCAGCACTGGGAGTGTGAACAGTGGGCTTTGACATGCTCTCACTCACTCAGGATGTAAACTTTTCACAGGAAAGGAGTGTGAGAAGTGCCAATACAGCTGCATGGATCTCTCGGGGTGTGGAGGTGCAAGTACCTCCCAGGGAGAGCTGTTCAGCCTGGCCCTCCTGCTTGCCTCTTCTCTCCATGGTCTTAGCTTGTTACCGCCAGTGATTGGTCCTGGGTGGCCAGCTGGAGTCAAGAGCAACCCACCTAGACCTGCTAAGGATGCTGTCCAGCTCCACAAAGGGGCGTCATCCCCTTCCTAGTGGGCAGTGACACCAAATACATGCTGCAGAGCTTAGGGAAGATATTTGAGACTGTGTGAGAGACACACAAGTTGCTGGATGACAGAAGGGAATGGAGCTATGCACAGCCCGACGTGAGGAAGAAGGAAGATACACGGGTGTAGAACGCCAGGCAAAGGCTGTCAGAGCGGCTGCCTGCCTCAGACCGCCCTAGCCTGGGAGTCCGCTCTCTTGCCCTTTCCAGGCGGCATGCAACACATTGCCCATTTGTTCTGGGCCCACACAGTAGGAGCTTGCTAAGGAAGGGTCCTGGGCTAAGGCCATGGCGGCTGCTAGGGTAGAAAAAGGCATACAGTTCTCTCTCAGAGTCAATCCGACTGGTCTACAGAGGGCATTCCAGGACGGCACCAAAACTACATGGAGAAACCCTGTCTCAAAAAAACAAAACAACAACAACAACAACAAAAAATTTTTAAAGTGTTATCTCTGGGAAATTAGTACCAGGAGGACATTTCAGAAAGAACAGCATACGTGTGTTGGGAGGAAGGCAGGAAGGCCAGGTAGCAGAGCCTGGCGGTGCGGGTGGTGCAGAGGTGGAACCTCCTGGAAGGGATGGATGTTAGGGTACCAGGAGCCTGGTTATGGAGTGCTTGCCTAGGTGCCTGGGTTCCATGCCAGCACTGCAAAACACAAAAGGACTGCAGAGGAGGTGGGGTGCAGTGGCCTGGTTCTCTGCACCTAATGTGAGCTGGCAGGTGACCCGAGAGTCTCTGAACCGCTGCCTGCCCCACAGGCCAGTCAGCTTGGAGTCACGAAGGAACTTGGGAAAGGGGGAGGTTGGGAGAAAGAACACTGTCTGGCATGGAAGGCTCCGGGTTTCATCTTTCCAGCACCATGCGTGCACGGGTACACAGAATGGCCACCAGGCACGGGAGAAGGTCTCAGCATCACTAGTTACTGGGCAAATGTAAATGCAAATCACACTAACACCTCACACCCACCAGAATGCATGTAGCTTTCCCGAAGGAGAAAGGGGCTGGAGAGGTGGCTCGCAGCGGCTCAGAGTGTCGGCTGCCCTCAAAGACACTCAGGTTCAGTGCCCAGCACCCACATGATGGCTCACAGTGACCTTTACCTCCAGTTCCAGGAGATCGGACACCTCCTTCTGGACTCCATGGGCATCTGCACTCACATGTGCACATACCCACAATACACACACAGAGGAATGCACCCACATATGCATAATTAAAGGTTAATACAATAAATCTGAAAAGAGAAAAGGATCCATGTTTGTGAACATCTGGGCAAACTGCAATCTTCAACCTTTGCTGGTGGGAGTTCATATGGTACAGCTACTTGGGAAAAAATAGTCTGTCCGCTCCTCAAATGGTAGGTCATCACACCAGGCAGAGCTTCCGTTCTAGGGTCCATGCCCAAGAGGAAAGAAGACACACGCACACAAATCTGCCTAGCCAGAATGGATTTTTTTTTCCAGACAGGGTTTCTCTGTGTAACATTCTTAGCTTTCCTGGAACTAGCTCTATAGACCAAGCTGGCCTTGAACTCACAGAGATCCACCTGCCTCTGCCTCCTGAGTACCACCACTGCCAGGCCCAGAATGGAATATTTTGGAGTCACAATGAAAGTGGATGCTGGGAGGCAGGCTTTGGTAGTGCACACCTTTAATCCCCGCACTTGGGAGGCAGAGGCAGGCGGATCTCGGTGAGTTCAAGGCCAACCTGGTCTACAGAGTGAGTTCCAGGACAGCCAGGGCTACACAAAAAAACTGAGGAAAGGGCTGGAGAGATGGCTCAGCGGTTAAGAGCACTGGCTGCTCTTGCAGAGGGTCCGGGTTCAGCATCCACACAATGGCTCCCAACCATCTCTACCTCCAGACCCCCTGATGTCCTTCTCTGGACTCGGAGGGTGCTGTATGCATCTGTGCTGTATGCATCTGTACTGTATGCATCTGTACTGTATGCACACCTATATACATGAGGACCAAAGACTCAAAACATAAAAATAAATTGATAAAGATGAAAAATAAAATAAAGAGCTGGAGAGATGGCCTGGTGACTGAGAGCATGTACTCCTGAGTGTATTTCCCAGCACCCGGGTGGCTCCAGGAATCCAATACCGCTATCCTCCCTGAGCGGCACCCTCTCACACCCACACCCACCCCCCACCCCCACTCCCCACACCCCCACCCCCGCACAGGGCACACACGCATTACTGAAGGATGCCACCCATAGACAAGATGGTGTGGGAAAGGAAGAGCTCTTGGGGCCTCAGCCTTAGACAAAGAACTACGGCAACTAAGGAATGCTGAGGGCAGAGGGGAGCATGTTCTCCTGGGGAGCCACACCAAAACCAAATGGCTAGCCCTGAAAACACACAAATAACACACGGACAGACGGACGGAGCAGGTTGTACTTTTTTTTCGTCTTTTTTAAATTTTATGTACACTGGTGTTGTGTCTGTATGTGGGTGTCAGGTCCCCTGGAAATGGAGTCACAGACAGCTGTGAGGCACCATGTGGGTGCTGGGAATTGAACCCAGGTCCTCTGGAAGAGCAGCCAGTGCTCTTAACCACTGTGCCATCTCTCCAGTCCTGAGCAGGTTGTACTTTTCTTTTTTTTTTTTTTCCGAGACAGGGTTTCTCTGTGTAGCTTTGCGCCTTTCCTGGGACTCACTTGGTAGCCCAGGCTGGCCTCGAACTCACAGAG